CCCCACCCCTCCCCCATCCAAACCATTTCCACCAGGTGGGAAAGACTGGCTCCTATTTGCAGTTCCTTAGGATCCTCTTCCGCATGCTCATCAGGCTCCTGGAGGTGGATGTGTATGACGAAGAGGAGATCAACACCGGTGAGCTCTGGACCTGCGCGGGGCAGCAAGACAGCGGGGACACCGAGCCCCGGGGATCTCTTTAGCCGTCTGGGATTTCCGTACAGGACCCCACTTGCAGTTATTGTGAGCTCAAGGACGACATGCCCAGTTCTGAAACTCCGCCTCTTGAGCTTCATGAGCTCTTGTCTCCACAATGGCTAAAATTCGATGTGTAGTGTTCAACTGCTGAGGACCTAGGGCACGTTTATATTTTGGATAGCCATACCTTTTCATTAGCCAGCATGTACCTTTTTATTTTTTAAATGAATTATTTATTTAATTCCATTTGTTGTTACTTTAAAAATTTGATCAGAGAGACAGAGAGCAAAGAAAGGAGAAGGGAGAAAGCAAGCCACCAGGTGGACTGGAACCGCAGTCGGCCATGTGGGAATCGAGCACCTTTAAGCACTATGCCACCTGCCAGCCCCCAACGTGTACCTTTTTGCAACCACAGGCTCTGAGTAAAGGCACAGAATTAAAATAATGAAATGAAAACTTCTGTGTGCAGAACTGAGTGCCGCTGCACAAACCAGAGCGTCCCAGCCGCGGTGGGGTGCAGGGCAGGTGCTTGGCATGCAGAGGTCTTCCCCCTGCTCGCCCCTTTCCTCCCCCAGCTGGGACAGGAGGCGACTCCACTCTGCGGCTAAGCAGTGGAGCCTCCCAACCACTCTCACTTCACAGCAGTCTGCCCGAGGCGGGTTCTGGGGAATAGAGGCAACCAGGTAGACGTAAAAAAGCCTCTCAGACAGGAGTCCAGGGTAGGGAGAGCCTTCGGCACCTTCTATCCGATTAGCTCTTAGAGGTCTCACTTGTTTTTCCAAATTGTTTGACTTGTTCCGTGCCCAGTCCAAGGGACTAGTTTTGTGCAGAGCAAGAGTGGGTAAAATCAGCCATACTTAATCACGTTTTTGTGGCTTCAGTTCTATTTCTGTGTCACCAGTTCACACTCATTTTAAACACACACGCAATCTCATCTTCCCATGCACAGTTTGTGTGTCACCCACTGAGCTGTGTCAGCTTCCCAGGCCCACCACAGAGGGGAACCAGAGCTCCAGCTTGGCCTCAAAAACACCAACCCCCCTGGAATGGGGCTGGGACCAGAAGGGCTGAGCCGGAGCCAGGCAAACCAGGAGCTGCCGTCCTGTGCTCCTGCCAGGCTCCTTGGCACCACAGCAGACCAATGTGTGTGGATTTACCCCAGACCCTTTCACACCAGTGAACCGTGAGAGTGTGTTGCGGCCCATCTGACAGGAGAGCTGGCCTTTGTAGAGAGAGGTGCAGTGAGTTTAGCTTTCTTCCTGCTCCCCCGTTTTAGGGAAATGAACACAATGGTGCTCTGGAAAGGCAGGACAATGACACTTAAAAAAGAAAGAAAGAAAGAAATCTGTAATAAGCTTGAAATTTTAAATAATGCAAATTTCAGCTCAGGGGTATAAAAATTAACAGTATTACTTGTGTTAAAAAACAGCAGCAGGGTTGGCATGTGGCATGGTGGTTAAGACACTGGACTCGCACATGGCCAACCACAGTGGGGAGTTTCAGACCTGGTGCTTTGCTTTCTCACTTTTCCTCCCTCCCTCTCTCTCTGTCTCTCTTTGGTCAAATTAAAAAATAATGATAAAATTAAATAAGTAATTCTTTAAAAATAAAAGGGTAACAGCTTAAAATTTTAGAAGAATGGAAGCAGCAGGTGGCATGGTGGTTGCGACACTGAACTCCCACACGGCCAACCATGATCAAGACCCAGAACTGGCAGCTTGCCTTCTTACTTTCTCTCTCTCTGGTGAGCACTCATGCTCTGCAGCAAATTTTAAAATAATAATGATAAATACAATTAAATAATTCTTTTAAAATAGCAAAAAAAATCGTGAAAATTTTTAAAAGGAAAACATTAAATAATTCTTTTAAAATAGCAAAAAAAAATCATGAAAATTTTTAAAAGGAAAATAAAAAAGTTATAGCTTTACTTCTAGTCTTTAGGCATTTTTTGAACATTCCTTCCTTCCTTTGAAAGTTGTCTTAAGCTACATGTTGACATTACACATTTCATTCATAGTAACTACCACCTATTAGATACTTGCTCTGTGCCTGCTACCGTCCTCACACATTCAATACACCATCTCTAACACTCAGAAGGACCCAGGAACTTGGAGGTTAAGCACGGGGCCTCAACGGTGAAGCAGTAAGGGGCAGGGCAGTCTCATCTTCCAGCCTCGGCCCTGTCTCTTGGAACCCTGGAAGCTTTCAGTGTCGTGACTGCTGCCTGGATAGAGATTCGACTGAACTGCTTTGGGGCATGTGGCCTGGGCCTGGGGACTTCACAAGCTCCGCAGGTGACGCTAATGCGTAGCAGACACTGGGAATCTTGCACAGGGCCCCCTGAAATCTCCTGGGTGTCTGTATCTTACAACCCTGCGTGCATCCAAAATTATACAAGCTTTTATGGAAATTTGGGGTGTGCTGGGAACTCTGCTCATCCTACCTATCCAGAGTTTGTGAATTGGGTTCACAGAGAAATGCTTCGGCTGGAGTCTGAAGTCACAGTTCCAGCTCCTCCTAACCCGGGATAAGGGAGCTCATTTTTCAGAAATGCCTTTGTCCGCACATCTGTTTTGTGGAAGTGTGGGGGGGGGTGTCAACCTGCTGGCACGTGGAAGGTGGGGGGCGTCAACCTGCTTGCCCTGTGCACTTTCTTCTTGTCCTAGATCACAGCGAAAGCAGTGAAGTAAGCCAGTCCGAGGGCGAGCCCTGGCCTGACATCGAGAGCTTCAGTAAAATGCCTTTTGATGTCAGCGTGCATGATCCCAAGTACAGTTTGATGAGCCTGATATATACTGAGAAGCTGGCAGGGGTCAAACAAGGTCAGTGCAAGGGGAGCCAGGCTTAGCTGCTCTGAAGGTCAAGGGGAACCCATCTCCGGGCAAGAGGCCTGGGACAGCCAGATCTTGGAAAGCAGCCTAAATAACTCTTTTTTTCTCTTATTATCTTTTTTCAAACCTGCCTCTAGGGCATAAATGATAGAATGCCAAGGACAGCGCTTTGGGGGAATAGGAGACGTTTTTACCCATGCAGAGAGGCTTCACATTCTATAAACTGGATGCATTTTTGCCCCTTTGTACACAGAAGTGATACAAGAATCCAAGGTGGAGGAGCCCAGGAAACGAGAAACGGTGTCCATGATGCTGACCAAATACGCCGCGTACAACACCTTCCACCACTGTGAGCAGTGCCACCAGTACATGGACTTCACCTCCGCCTCCCAGGTCAGCCCGCCTCCACCCTCGCTTTGGATCTTTTGCCCACATGAACTTCGTATGTAAGGGTCAGGTGGAGCGACAAAAAAGAAGGGCCTTAGTTTCAGGCCTTCAGTAAAGGATAGTTAACTTATGAGGAGGGGACACTCACTGGTGGAAAAATGCATGAGACAATAACTAAATGAACTTTGGGCTTACTGGGGTTATGGGAGGGGAAGGAGAAGAGGAAGCTTACTTTTAGTGTCCTAAGTGACTTCACTAGGATGGTTACATGTGTCACATTTAAGTTAGAGAATAACAGATAGGGGCGAGCAGGTGGCATAGAGTCCCATGTAAGCGACTACACTTCACCCGGCAGCTTGAAACTCACACCGGGCGTGTGCGCATGCACGCCCAGAAACCTGAAAGGAGAACCCGGAAGGGGACTGCAGTGTGGCCATCCCCTCAGGGGGTGATTTCTCACTTTTTGTCTCTTCATCTCTATGTGGCGAGCGCACACACCCTACTGCAAAAATCTCTCTCAAAACAAAACCAACCAAAACTGAGTAACAGATATTTGTAATCCTGGGGGAGAAGGGGAAGGATATTATGGTATGTTTGGTAAAAGGGTCTTTTTTCCCCACTTCGTGTTGTTGACTAAAGTTGCACTATTCTCTATAAAAAGTCCATAGGCTGTGTCCTCTGAGCTGTGAATCTAACGTTAAAGTCTATTGATTTGCACCAGCTTAGTCATGTACTTATACCTGCGCGGCATGGTTTCGACCAGGGGAGTTGCTTGCATTCTGCAGAAAGAAATGAGAGATAAGAATGCAGAGTGTGGGCTGGCTCTGTGGCACAGGAGAAGCCAGATCCCACATGGCAACTGCTGTTCCAATCCTGGGCCCGGTCGGCCAAAACATGCTGGGCATGCTTGTAAGCCCTCAGGAGCTGAAGGGCTGGAGAGTGAAGGAAGGGAATCATGGCATGACCGACCCTGTGAAGGGGACACACTACTGGTCTCTCTTCTACGTGCATGCATTCTACCAGTCAGGGGGAAAAAAGAATGCAGAATGTTTGCAAACGGCCCAGAGTACCTGGCTTCTTTTTGGCTAGTGCCAAGATGGGAAAAGGAACAGATGATGGTGCAGTTGACCCTGGGTAGCATAGACTTGAGTGGGCGGGTCCACTTATATGTGGATTTTTTTTCAATAAATACAATAATCTTTTTAAGGTTTTTGGGATAGAGCATATGCACTTGCCAGAGACAAAAAGTGAGAAATCCCCCCCTAGGGGGTATGGCCATACTGCAGTCCCTTCTCTTCCATTCTCCTCTCTGAATTTTGGACAAACACGCACAGACGCCTGGCACGATCTTCAAGCTGCCGTGTTCAGGACTCGAACTGCAGTCAACCACATGGGAGTCCAGCACCTTAACCACCACACCACCTGCTGGCCCCTCTCTTAGGGTTTTTTAAGCTTATTTCTTGCATGAGTGAGAGAGACAAAGACAGAAAGATAGCACCTCCGACCTTCAATGCCACCATCCAGCCGCTATTACGATTTTTCTTAGTAACATTTTCTTTTCTTTTTTTTTTTTGAGGTTTTTTGCTATAGGACGCGGGCGCTCGCCAGACAGACACAGAGAGACAGAGAGACAGAAAGCGAGAAATCACCCCCCAGGGGGGATGGCCACACCACAATCCGTTCTCCTCTCGGGATCTTGGGCACGCATGTGCCCAGTGTGAGTTTTAAGCCACTGGGTCCGGGATGCAGTGGTTGACTACATGGGAGTCCAGAGACATAGCCATTACGCTAACTGCTGGTCCCCCATTTCTTGCTTTCTGTCTCTCTCTGTCTGGCTGGCAAGCACACGCACCCTGTAACAACAACAACAACAAAAAAAACTCTCCCCCCAAAAAAATTTAAAAAAATAACTGGATTGAGTCATTCTGCTCTCTCATGCAAGTTACCTTTTATATCCCATTTGTTGTAGTGGTGTCGCTGAAAAGTTCTGGTCGACTGCTACTACTGCTTTACAATCAGCTCACAATGCTTTAGTGAGTACAGAAGATGCAAGTCCACCAGTGCATGGTGTACACAGCAAAGGTTTTTCAGAAAACATATTAAAAGCCCTCTATTCATATAGTTTCTGTGTTATTACAGTATTTAGTATATTCTCACACTCATAAATGGAATAAACTAGAAGTTAAGGGAAGACATAAAATATTGTTTGTATGAAATGTAATCTTTCAGTTAAAACTATTGGGAAACCTTGGACCAGCAGATGGCACAATGGTTATGTCGCTGGACTCCCACATAGTCGACTACAGTTCGAGTCCCAGACCCAGTGGCTTAAAACTCACACCAGGCGTGTGTGCGTGCATGCATGCCCAAAATCGTGAGAGAACGGAGGAAAAGGGATTGCAGTGTGGCCACCCCCCCCCCGCCGTAGGGGAGTGTGATTTCTGGCTTTCTGTCTCTCTGGCGAGTACATGTGCCCTATAGTAAAAATCTCTCTTAAAAAAAAAAACTACTGGGAAACCTACTTGGAGTCTAGTGCTGATAAAATTTGATGTTATCCTTTCAGTAAGCCAAATATAGTCTCCACTGTAAAGCATATAAAGACCTATTACATCATTATTCACTGAGCTGGGTTACAGCATAGGTACTTCTCAGCAACTGTAAAAATAAGTTAGAGTTGGGGGCCAGCAGGTGGCATGGTGGTTAGGGTGCTAGACTCCCACGTGGTCAACTGTGGTTCGAGGTCCAGACCTGGTAGCTTTCTTTCTCACTCTCCTCCTCTCTCTCTCTGGTCAAACTGAAGAAATAACAATAAATACAATTAAATAAATATTTTTTTAAAAATAGGTTAGATTTATATTTGGTTTGGACATGTCCAATGGTTACTCCCTGAAGCCTGAGTTTTGAGTTAAACATTCAAACCTCTTCAGCTTCTGCTGTAGCCAGAAAAGACGGGGCCACAGAGGCAGTCCTAATATCTAGTGATTCCAGTCCTAGTGTGTTACTTAGAAAGCTGATGTTCAATTCATTTGCCCTGAAACATAGAGCAGAAGTTGTTCCCTATAACTAAGGACCTTTGGGAATGTGCACATAGCAGGACGTTCCATAGGAGTACCAACCCACTGTCTCATGGTTGTGGCTATTAAGAGCAAAAGAAATGCCGGCAGTGCCTGAAAACAAGTGCTTCATCCACGGAGAGGCTGTGCAGGGCAGGATGCTTGGCTCCCAAGTCAGTGGGAGCTCTAAATGAAGTGTCTGCCCTCCGAGCCCTTCAGACATTGCTGCTCACAGCCAGAAGGTCTAGGGGCACTTTTAAGTTCACAAGTTTAGAAACCTTGAACTTAGATTTCCTTTTTTCTTTGTAAATGTAGATGTCTGACTCCACTCTTCATGCATTCACGTTCTCTTCCTCTATGCTGGGAGAAGAGGTTCAGCTCTACTTCATCATTCCAAAATCCAAAGAGAGTCATTTTGTCTTCAGCAAGCAGGGCAAACACCTGGAGAGCATGCGGCTGCCCCTGGTTTCAGACAAGGTGGGTGAGAGGGTCTATGTACGTGGGCTGCCGTGCAGTGCAGCAAGCTTTAGATCAAGTTGTCTAAGCTTCTTGTGTCTAAGGGTTTTAATTTCCCTTTGTGGTCTTTCCCCGCCCTCTTCAGCAGAATCTGAATGCAGTCAAGAGCCCTATTTTCACTCCTTCCAGTGGTCGCCATGAACACGGGCTCCTAAACCTCTTCCACGCCATGGAGGGCATCAGCCACCTTCACCTTCTGGTGGTCAAAGAATATGAGATGCCACTGTACCGCAAGTACTGGCCCAACCACATCATGCTGGTGCTTCCTGGCATGTTCAATAATGCAGGCGTGGGTAAGGGGCCCCCTGGGGATGGGGAGAAGGGCTGAGAAGAAAAACTGAGCTCCATTCCCCTGGCACAAAACTTTCAAAGGTTCCCCTGACTCTGGAAGGTATCCTGCCCCCTTGGCCAAATTTTCTGTGGACTCCTCTTTGAATTTTTCTTTCCCCCCTAATTTGAAGAACAACAAAAAATTACTCATTTCTTACAAGAAACAGACAGCAGGCCCAACAGGGTCTTGATGCCACAGTCCATCCCTAGATCGCAGGCATATGCACACCCAGTGTACGCAGGGAGGTTTCTAGACACAAACCTGGAACCTTCCAACGTGGTCTGCCTCATGTAGCACTGTGTTCTATTGCTGCACCACCATCTGCACCCAGTTCAGCAGCGTTTTTAACTTGAAAGGACTAGTAACTGAGGAAGAGATCACTGGTATGTCGAGCATCCTGGGAAGGATTTGGCACTCTTCCCAGGATAGGCCACAAATGCTCCTGGGCTGAGTAAGAAAGATGGTCTGAGGGAGAAGAGTTAGTGGGTCACTGTGATCTGAAGTTGTCCTTGAGTTCTCTCTCATCCTGAGGGCACATGGTAGGTTCTAGAGGCTGCTGTACAACCAGGGAATCAGAACCATCACGAATGCCAGTGACAACAGCAGAAATGCCTGGCAGGTGGGGTGTGTCTTTCCTGCTTTCCTCCCTGGGGCTGAAGAGTAATGGACTGATTCCTCAGGTGGGGTGTGTGTGTTGAGTGTATGACAGAGTTGTGGGGAGGCGCTGGAGACGTGTAGGACTCCACTTTCCTCACTCAGGCGGGAGACCTGTAACTGAACCCATTGTTTCAGAGCTCTACTTTTCTGGGCACTTCTTACACTGTAGTTCTAAATGCCTTTCTCCCCCATCAGCTTCTGTGGGTGTCTAACTCAGTGCCGCGTCTCAGAAGGGCTGAGTATCAAGAACAACTACAGTTGAATATCCCTTATCCAAAATGCCCAGTGTTCCGGATTTCTGATTATTTCAGATTTTGGAGTATCTGCATATACACAATGGAGATATCTTGGGGATGGGACCCAAACCTCCACACAAAATTCACTTGTTTCATAAATATATTTTATACACATAGGTTCAATTTTACACAATATTTTTGTATTGCAGTGTTCTGCTCACACCCATCACATGAAGTCAGGTGTATAATTTTCCACTGGGACATCTTGCTGATGATGGGAAAGCTTTGGATATTTGGAGCATTTCAGATTTTCCAATTAAGTACACTCAACCTATAGCAACATCCATTCTAGAGCTGGCGAGGACAGCAAATGACACTTGCGTGGTTTTCTTGAACCCATGAATTCTTTCCCTCCAGGATCTCCTGCTGTGTCCTTTCGCCCCCTGAGTTTCTGTATCTCCCCCTGCCTATCCATTCATCTCTTTCCTTGCCTTTTCAGGTGTCATGATTTGTTCTCCTTTTATGTACTAAACTTCAGCTTTCAGTATGTGATTCAGAAACTTAAATGGTTTTGAATGTAATTTCATTTTCCATGTTTATCACTTTATAGCAAGGTCAATCAAGAGTTGTATATTTCTGATCTCTTAATCTCCCCCAAACCACCTACGTTAACTAAGGTCTTTTTCTATATGAACATGAACATCAAACTGCCCTCTCTGTTCTTGACTGTTAAGTTTCTTCTCCCAGATTTATTTAGTGCCAGTTTTGCCATTTTTGCAATAATCTGGTGAGAAGTCAACATTATGTACAAATGAAAAATATGAACTATTTTTATTTCTGGTTAAAAAAAAACACATAAAATTGACCATTCTAACCATTTTTAAGTGTACAGTTCCAAAGTGCCAAGTAATTAATGTCCTTGGATTCATATCTCCAGAATTCTTTTCTTGCAAAAGCTAAAACTCTGCATTATTTAACTCCCATTGAGCAACCCCTTATCCCCGCCCTGCCACCAAGTCCCTGGTAGCCAATGTTCTATTCTCCAGGTACCCCATATAAATGGAAGCATACAGTATCTGCCCTTTTGTGACGAGCTTATTTCACTAAGCATATCTTCAAGGTTTATTCATGTTGCAGCGTATGTTAGTTCTCTTCCTTTTTGAAGGCTGAATAATATTTCACTATCTGTATACACTGCATTTTGTTTACCCAGTTGTCAATGGACACGGGCTGCTCTCATCTTTCAGCATTGTGAATAATGCTTCTGTGAATACAGATGTACAAATCTGAGATTTTTTTGATTCTTTTACATACATGCCCAGAAATGGAATTGCTATATGATATGGTAATTCTGTCTTTAATTTTTTTTTTAAGGAATCACCACATGGTTTTTCATAGTAGCTGCATTATTTTACATTCCTGCCAACAGTGTTCAGGGGTTCTACTTTCTCCTCATCATCACTAGCACCTGTTGTTATTATTTGTTGAGGCAGTATCTCATTGTGATTTTGATTCACATTTCCCTAATAATTAGCAATGCTGCACAAATGCTCAGCATATGCCTGTTGGCTATCAATGCAATGTCACCATAGTCCTTTGCCCATTTTTCAATTGGATCATTCTGTTGTGGCTGATTTGTAGGAGCTTTTTTATGTATTCTGAATATTAACTTCTTATCAGATGCAGATGCTCCTTAAGACTTACAATGGGATCCATTTTAAATTGAAAGTATTAAGTCAACATTTATTAATACCAGGCCAGCCTGGTGGTATGGTAGTTATAGTGAATGGATCTCACATGGCTGACTGTGTGGTTCATGTCCCAGACCTGGTAGCTTGGAAACATGCCAGGCGCACAGGTGTGCATACCTAAAATTCCAAGAGGAGAATAGAGAAGGGACTGTAGCGTGGCCATCCCCCTGGGGGGTGACTTCTCACTTTTCCTCTCATCTTTCCCTCTTTATCTCTCTGGCAAGCAGCAAGCACACACGCCCTATAGCAAAGACTAAACAATAAATATAAATAATAATACCAAACCTCATAGCTCAGCCTAGTCTACCTTAAATGTGATTAGAACATTTACATTAGCCTAGAGTTGGGCAAAATCATCTAATAGAAAACCTATATTCTAATAAAGTATTAAATCGCTCATATAATTTATTAAATACTGTACTCAAAGTGAAAAGCAAAATGGTCAATGAGTGTCTAAGTAGGATTTCTACTGAATGTTTATCACTTTCCACCATCATAAAGCTAAAAAGTTGTAAAGCTAAAAAACTGCTTTAAAAACATATCATTTGGGGCCGGCAGGTAGTACAGTGGTTAAGGTGCCGAACTCCCACATGGCTGACCACAGTTTGAGTTCCTGACCTGGCAGCTTGCTTTCTCTTT